GAGGAGGGCCTCTAGCGTGCTGAATCGCTTCTCTAGTGATTCGGTGAGGGTTGCTTCGAATTGCTGTATGTCAATATCTTTTAAGTTGTACTTGATCCCTGCCACGTTCTCCACCTCCTGTGCCCCTTGGTCAATGGTGAAGGTGATTCCATAGTGATCCGAAGTCCCTGCTAGGCTCGGGTTGACAAACCAGTCCTGGAAAACGACTGAGCCTGCTGCAGTGTTGTTAGCGAAAGTCACGTCGATGACTGATGGTTGTTCCCCGCCATGGCGAGCAGGGTGAGTGATGCGCCCTTTATCATTTAGCAGTGACCACCCGTTCTCCATAAACCAGTCTCCAACAGCTGTGGTGAGCGGGTCACTGTCGCCGAGGCCTGGTGCCCAAATTGGATGGTGTAGGTTGAAGTCCCCAGTGATGAAGGTCGGGTTGGTAAACGGAGGAGCTAGTCGTTGTAAGCGGCGTAGAATACACTGTTCTCCATGTTCTTGGACATTGTATATGTTGATAATTGTGACGTCGCGCTTCCCGGTCTGGTGGATATCTAGCCACTGGATGTATGGGTCTTCTATGATGTTGGTACGCAGTTCCACTGCAAAGTCTTCATGCCGTCGTACATAGGCTATGGTGGGTGGCTGGGGGTCATCAGGGGATCGAGCTGGTACTGGTAGAATTGGTACCCAGCCCGCCATGCCTGGTGGACTGTCGATTCGGTTTCTGTTCTTTCTATCAGTGCCGATGAAGCTCCATGGTGGTTCCTGTAGGATAACGATGTCAGTGGGATCATCAACTCGGTTGAGGAGCATAAGGAGGTTGTTTTTGTTCTTCTGTGTGTTGAGCTGTATTACTCGAATGGGTTTCGTGCAGACGGTGCTGGCGTGTTGTTCCGTCATGCTGACAAGGTGGTAGGTGTGGTTCGCTGCGATGTGACATTGTCTCCGAGGGCCGCAAAGCGGTTGTTATTGGCGCTGGATGTAGGGCCCATTGCGTTCGAGTTGCTGGGTTTGGTGGTCTTCTTGCATCCCCTCTTCGGTGCCATGACTTGGTAGGGGGTGCCCTTCTTTATCGCTGCTTTTTCGTTGTTGCAGGCAGTGCCAAAGGCCTCCAACCTGATGGGGCAACGCCTACTGTTGGCTGCATGGTCGGTTTCTTCCTTTTCTGCAGCGAGGCAGTTAGTACAGCAGAGCCCATGAACGCAACTTAGCTGTTCCGTGTCCATGAGGCTCTCACTCTCCCTGATCGCCCGGCAATTCGTGCACTGTGCGCTGTGAGCTTGTTCGGTGTGTTCCTTCGACGAGCATAGCTGGCATGCTTCTTCTCCCTGGCATGTGTTTTGGCGGTGACCCATGGTCCAGCAGTTCATGCATTGGAGGACTGGGGGACGGTCTTGGTATGGTCGGATGTCGCAGTATCTGCCGAGTACTGCTAGGCTCCTAGCTTTGATCATCTGGTTGGCTGCTTCCTCCGAGCTTGTCGCAAAAACAAATGAGGATCTGCGGGTGTCTTGTGCCTTGAGGTCCTCTGGGTTTCTCATCCATCTCGGTGCCATGGTAATGCGTCCTTCTGCAGCAAGCCTGGCAACTGTTGAATTGTTTTTCGTCAGTTCATTCATCAGGATCTGAGGAGTGTAAATGTTCCCATGGTAGTCCTCTGTCGGGACGTTATCCACTTGGATCTTGAACCATTGGTCATCCCCATGAATTTCCACATGATATCCTGCTGCATTGCACCCAACGACACATCGTCTGATCTCCTCTCTGAATGGTAGTAGGTCTGCCACTTTCTGATCTTCTCTAACGTGGATGATGAGGCTGCTGTTTTGCTTGTTGTACTTCGTGGCTACCACAAGCGGCAGATCTTCTAATTCGTATGCGGCTAATCTCTGGTTGATGCTTTCGGTTAGGGCCAACGGGTCTTGTTTATCCTCTTCGCGAATCCCTTTCAGTAGGAAGTTGACGACTAGCCTGGAGGGGTGGTGAGCTTCTGTGGGGCATGTTGTTGTTTTGGCGGGTTGTGGCTTGACCGTTTGAGTAGGTTTGTACATGGGTCCGAGCGCCGTAGTGGTCGTTGGTGCTGTGTGTGTGCTGGTGTTGGGCTGCGGGTTTTGCCTATTCGCGAGAAGTGCCGATAGTTCTTCGTTGCGTTTTCTGAGGTCACAGACTTCCTCGAGTAGCTTGGTTTGCGATGCCTGTACCTTCGAATTTTGGGTTTTTAGGGCCGCGACTTCTTCGAGGAGATGGCTGTTGGTGTTCACAATGTGTAGAACGGCTTCATGTGTTTCCTGAGCTGTTTCTGCAGTGTTTCGAATCCATGTCATGATGTTCCCCAGCTCTCCCATGGTGTCGGTTGCTGTGCCTAATATGACATTTTCTAGATGGTCATAGTGAGTGGGGGGCGTGGGGGTGTCATTGAACAATCTTCGTCGTGCTTCTTCCTGGTCCTTGTTGAGGAGACTGCCTTCGTCGTCGTTGTCGATGTAGATATCATCATCTCCGGCTAGCGGGTACGCGTTGTTGGCAGGTGTGGGAGCATCCATCCGAGAATTTAGACTGTGCATTTCGTTAGCAATAGAAAGCGGCTTCTGATGCCCACCTGTGTCCGATTGCTCTCTCGATCTCTTCCTTTTAATTAGAATACTGTCAGCTTTGTTCTTAAGCTTGGAGGGGGATTCCCATAGCGCTTGCATGAGGGTGCGTCTTGAAGGGGTGCCATTGCTGTCTATAGACCTTGCTGTGTTTTTTGATTGACCTCCTGTAGGAGTTTTGTTCCCTGGCGTGTGACCTCGAGTTAAGTTGGCCATGGTTTTTTTTTTTTGCCTCTATACTGTACGACGACGCTCTTTTTCTCTCAGAGGTGTCCCGGGAGAACCGTGGGAACACTGAGCGAGATGGGAGTGCGTGACAAAGAGGGCTTGGATGCGGCAGTGTTGATAGTTCCTCCTGGACGTGCCCCATGTGAGGCCTTGAACTTTTTTTTAATTGTCAGCTGCAAAGCGAAAGCGTATCATGAGCCTGAAAGAAGAAGGAAACGCGAGTGAAAGAACGTTAACGTCGAAGGTCTCCCTCCGGGCCTACCGAGCGACTAGTAAAGCTTTGATCCTTAGAAACCAAAGTATGCATATTAATACGGTGCTCGAAACCTAGCAAGCTTGTTCAAGGAATGAAACTCACATCGACGCGAATGGGGCATTGATAGCGTACAAGTCAGACTAGTAGGGTAGGAAAATAATGATGAGCAATGGACCCACATTCAAACAACTGTTATCGTGGATAAGGATCTAACCAGACCAAACTAGACTTACGCAAAAATACAATATGACTCCGTCCTGAATAATCTGAGCTGAGTGGAGTCAACGATCCAGTAAGACGGGAATATACCGCTCTGTCGAGGGACAAGACGAAAATATGCAAAATATCACAAAAGCGTCTACAATATTGCAGTCGACTGTAGGGAGACGAGGGGTGTAACGTCTCGGAAGACTAAAAAGGTAGACTGAGGGAAAAGCCTTTCCTTCTGACCTCATTCTTTTCAAGTGTAGCATTGAGCGTTTAAGTTATTGGGGTAACCTTGGTAGATCGGACGCATATCGAATGTGGTGAATGCGAGGACATAATACTCGTTCGCTGTCTTATATGAATCTTCAACAAGTGATGACAGCACAAAACAGACTGGAATGTGCGAAACCTGTTGCTATCTTCTCAGGATCTTTAGGCTGGAGATTGGAAGGAGAATCACTGACATGATATAAAGCCTGGACGGTGACTGGAAATCAGACTCGTTAAGGAGAGCGAAACTTATGGCCAGTACAAAAGGTAGGGTCAGCAATCTCGACCACGCAACTGATTTTCAGGGTTGCCTGGTTGTCGGTTTCAGATCAAGCCGAGCAGAAATGGATGTTGTCATTTCCGGAGCTTGACCGTGATTTTTGGGCGACATCCGTAGTCCTCCCTCCTCGACTCTTGAAAAGGTGTCTCGTCTCTTCACAAGTCTCTTATTGACTACAAATAGACCTGCACGTTTTGATGCCATCAGAGTTAAAGTGAGCATACAGATTTGTAAGTATGTTCCATGTTCCATCATGATAGACTTTCATTTAGTAAAGTTGGCACGACAACGAACTCTGTTGTCAGGGAACCCTGCAACGGCCCGGGATGGGTGAAAACACTGAAGAGTGGGGAGGTGACTTAACGGGGGTAATATTCAGGGCGCGATACGGTGACTTGTAGTCACTACTAGCGCAGCTGTTCAAAGAGAGTAAACTACTAATGGATGTGCCACGATGTGCAGCTTCGGCAGGTGGGCCTTTCTAAGTATGCAAGCGTTCCCATATTCCCGAGCTAGTACACACATTGTTTTACCTCTAGCGCGGATTTATTTTTGCAATCTTTTTGCATCCTCTTTCGAGTAGTAGTATCATGTCCATTGAGCCGTATACCAAGGATCTGGAAGACTTTTAACAGAGACTCGAATACCATCCACCCTGATAAACACGTTTTAGGGAGCCCTTACCTCCACCCTTCGGGAGATGCATATCAGAGCTTGCGTCAGATGCGGGAGATCGTCGCCCAGGGCTTTACGACTAACAGAATCCAGCACGGTGCAAATAGGGAGACAAATGGATGACGTGTGGTGGGAGGACTATAGCTCCCTGAACTCGTCTGATGGCGGTTATTACTGATCACTTAGACCATCTAAAAGGGGAGGATTAACGTGGAAGTGAAACGAAAAGGTAGTGAAAAGTTAGTGGCTCATTCCACTCCGGTAGACGAGATACTCAGGCTGCACCAGTAAACCAAAGACGGGTAAACATCCATGCTTCTCTGCAACCAGTCATTTCAATTTCATCGATGAATTGAAAAACATGGTTGAGAGTTCCCTACGGCTTTACAAAAAATATGTACATTATGCTGGGTGTATAGCAGGTGGGGCAAAATGGAAACGGATAACCGCAGACACTGTTTGCCGGTTCTACTGATTGGCTATATTTGCAGCAGTCAACATGTCCCTCTTAGCTCAGTGGTAGAGCGCTTCACTAGTAATCAAAGAATACATGAAGAGGTCAGTCGTTCAAGTCGGCTAGAGGGAATTCCGGAAAGCTACTCCACTTTTTTTCTCCTGTTTCAATAATCTCTTGCGTTTGTTATTTTGCTTTTCCCCTCTCCCGCCCTTCAAAGTTGTATGTACTCTTGAACTTGATTCGCGTTATTTTTTTACTCCTTCACCACGTGAGTTGGCGAAGAACCCATAAAACATTCCTTGGGCTGATTTGAATGCAACTTGTGAATATCTTGGTGTGTAGCAGCAGGCATTCGTATCACGGTCGCGTAAGATCATGATCATTATACAAAATTTTGGATTACCCGGTTGTAAACTAATAGAACGTATACTAGAAAAACTTCAATATAATACAAAGGAGAGATTTACAAGTGAGAGAGATGAAGGGGACAGGAGAGGTTCATACTTCCAACTGATTGGCTGAAGTTGTTTAATCAGTTTATCTCAAAATGCGAATAGGAGAGAGTAAGACATCACGTACCGAGAAATACCTCCACAGACAATTATTTATCATGCGAAAATTCGTAATCGAATCAATAATAATGTCTATACTTATGTTGATGAGAATCGTGGCGGTGTCCTGGTTTACAACACGAAGCTTGGCAATGAGAGCCAGACGCCTGGTAGAAGAACGAAACCCATTTCGGATAAACGATTAAGGGCCCTCTCGCGGATGGAAGGGGAGGAAAGCCAAACTCACCGACAAATCAGCGGGAATTAAGAAGGACATCAGGCCATGGACGAATCGTTTAGCAGCCCTTTGGGACCTTAGTTTGATATGTCTATTTTTCGCCATGAGAAAACAGTTGTTTGGTGGCTTCGTAAAGATGTGGGTAAGATAGGTCGAGTTGAGTAGCTGCTCTGGTAAGTATCTCCTCACAACAAAAATTACGACCTCTTAAGTACCGTCCTACAGTGGAATTAGTATGTACAAGAGTCCTGTTTCTACGCGCGGGAAATTTGACGCCACAACTTTTACGGCCGAGGGGTTTGTTACTTATTCATTAGAATACTCCTTACTTACCTATGCTCTAGACCTTCCCACGTCGAGCGCCCATTAATTTGGATAAGCTGAGTCTACCACATGTATAACGGTAGCTACGATTCCTGAAGGAGCCTGAGAAGCAGGCTGCTTTCGTGGTTTTGGACGACCAGTCTCATGCAAGGGTACTTCCAGCCGTTGGTCGAACGCGAAGAACTCATTAGCATTAAAACCATAAAGCTACGCACTCAGAAGTCAGAGGTTTGCGGAAGATCGGTTGAAAGGATAGAATCACTAGTTCAAAAACACGGATGGGGTCCTTCAGACCGAATCCAAGGGGCAAAGAACCGTGTGATGTTGGTGAGGTGCCTTACTGCGTGGGGGTTAGCTTCGTATGTCGAAAAATGAAGAGATTTCTCCACGGAGGTTTCGTCCGATCTGAAAGAGGGAACATAACACTGCTAGCGTACTAAGTTAAACTCGGGCATTTTCGAAGAATTGTGACCATGACTTCTCAGTTGCATTGGACCCGACTCAAACGTACATATATGAAAAATCTCCATACTAAGCTTTGGTTCAAATGTCTATCAGGAAAAACTTCGAGGAATCAAATCTTTTCTGATGTTTTCCTGCCCATCAGTGCGCCCAGAAATATTGATACGGACATAACAGCACCCATCTCCGAGAGGACGGCGTATAAATCAATGATTAGTTACTCAATTGCCTCCGCCTATCAATGCAATTAATCGTCCTCCACTCCGACGATGGTGACTCCCTCCGACGTCAAACCTGCGAGCACGTAAGGCAAACCACGGTCGAATTTCCCCCCTCTCCGATCGTTTAGTGACCTGAAATGCAGGACGACGTCGGATTACCCCGTGTTTCGGGGCGAATCCCTCGGCTTCACAATTAAATAACTGAGTAAAAGCAGGGAGAGCGTTGTTAGCCTTGAGCGAGGGACAGTAGAGGAATCAGGGAGCCGTGAATGGAAGGTAGGTTCTTGCGATCAAGGCATGCATTCATGCGTGGTGATCACTGCACGCAGGAGTGATGGATTTTGTTGGACCTGGTTCATTGGCGTCGAAATTGAGGGGAGCGAATTCCGCTGTCACTCCTCTGCGAACTTGCAAGAGAGTGGGTTGTAGCGCAACTGGGCTGAGGTGGTAGGGATGTTGTCGGCAGGCTCCTCATTTCTCGTCTACCAGAACTTCGTTTCCTGGTTTCACCGATGAACCGGCGCGGGAGAACGTATAATTATAGCCGTTTGCGGACATTTGAATACAAAACGTAAGGATGCGTAGGTAGTGCAGCAAGTAGGGGTATTGAAAGGAGAGTACGCGCCTTTCCATGTAAGTTGGGCGCACAGTCTCGGGTGACCGGTTATTGAAGGTTTGTCCAGTCAAGCTTTCATTTTTATGATATGCAGACGGTTTTGACAGATTCAACGCTCTGTGTCTGGTACTTCTGACCGTAGCACGTACAAAGCTTCAAAACATCCTCCACGCCACAGCGGCAAGCCGATGATCATCTTGGGGTAGTCACATGGACAACATCACCCGAAAACAAGGACGAAGACTTCAGTTTAATTTTTTCGGCCGTTCAGTATTTTAGTTCAAATGTTTCCTGATTTTTTCTAATATTGTCTTGGACGGCATATTGACCATGGTAATATGTAAATCGCGACAAGCGCAGATGTGACTATGGGCTTTCCCGAAGTTTGTCGATCTCCGCATGCCTCTAAATACTTCATTACGGCGCTGTGAGGGTTGAACCTGACTTTGACACCGACTCAAGTACCTGGTGGTGAAGAGAGGTAAGAAACATCCGGTAGATGTTCACCGAGTCACCCTGGATATTTTTTTTGCGGAGTAGATTATCAGGTACCGCGTGAGAGCCACAAGCGAAGACAGCACCACTGGTCTGTACTCATCATTGAAAATTCGAATTTCGAAGGAGTTGCTGTCTTCCACGCCAATTCGCGACAGCACAGCGTAAATTTTTTGTTTCTTGCTTCCGTTCACCTCACTACGGTGATGGAGATTTCAGACCCTAGTGGGCTCCTTCGGGCCTCACGGAACTCAGAGTCTGAAGGGACGGTGGTGTTTCAGCTTCTTACTTCGGTACAGCGGCTCAGCTTGAATTGCCGTTCCGGCGTTCGCGCGGTTAGGACCCGAAGTTTACTAAGCGCTTAGCCTCCCACGAGGGAAGCATATGAACTCTAACCGGTACCTCCATCATCCGCCCTTCTGCAGAGTTAGTATAAAACGGTCCTCCAACCAAAACTCGGTGGACAATCTCATCGACTTCATGAATATCCCTAACCCGATTCTCGATGGATTCGGGCCAATGAACACTCAGTTCAATGGAAGTCAGGCCAAGGTAAGAATAAAACTGAATGAGCATAGTAAAAACAGGTTTGTATCGCATTATACCCCTGCAGGCAAGCTGCTCGGAAGCGCTTTTCCCATTAATTGAGATCTATTATGGTTTATTCGTATCTCGTTGAAATGTAGTGGGCTGGGTCGCCCGAAACCTGGAGACCCCACAAACTTCTATTCACAGTCCCATTGCCACGCCCTTCAAGTTGTAAACGCGTGTTGGTTTATAAAGGTTTGTCTTCATCGGTCTTTCTTTTTCATAGTCCCTGCTGAGAGGCTTATTCCCCAGCTGTTCGCTTTCCCTATGTTAAACGTGCTCCTACCATTCGTATTCATCGGAACACGCGTATACGCGTCCACCATCGGTCCAGTCACTGACCTTCCCATTGTCAATGCGCAAATATCTCCAGATGGATTTTCTCGTAGTGCCGTACTCGCTGGAGGAACGTTCCCGGGCCCTGTCATTGTTGGTCAAAAAGTTCGCCCTCCTGTCTCCTCCATCCTCAATCTTGTTACTGATTTCTCGGCTAGGATGACTTGTTCAAAATAAACGTCATCGACCAACTTCAAGACAAATTCATGTATAGAAGCACTTCAATTGTTCGTCACAGTTGTTTCTTCTTCAAATTGCTCCCAGGACTCACACTAAATAATGCCATTTCCTCTCTTTACTAGCACTGGCACGGTTTGAATCAACATGGAACAAACTGGGCAGATGGGTAAGTCGGAGCTTGGGTGATATCTCTTTTCTAATGCTTACAACACGAATAGTACCGCAACCGTCAGTCAATGCCCCATCACGCCCGGTCATTCCTTTGAATATCGGTTCAAAGCGGCAGAGCAAGCTGGAACGTTTTGGTATCACTCTCACCTGTGTAGGTAGACCATGTTCCCTCCCATCTTTCTGCGCTGACGAGACTCCTTCAGCAACACAATACTGTGATGGCCTTCGCGGCCCCTTCATTGTTTACGACCCGAACGATCCACACAAATCTCTTTATGATGTCGATGATGGTCCGTTTCTTCTTCCAGCTATCGATGACTACCAGAACCTGACTTTAACGCAATTCAACAGAGAGCACCATCATCACTTTGGCAGACTGGTGAGCTCTAATTTGTTTTTGTACGTTCTCAAATCGAGTTACCTCTGATTTTAGGTACCGTAAGTCAAAATATACATCTCGCTTTCTTAACCTTCTTCCATTCGTTGCTATCATCAAGACAAACCCGCTCCTCAATACGGTCCCATTGCGTTAGTCCGAGTCTGTCTCCCGTGACCGCTAACTCAACTTATACTCACTTATCCAGCGTCCCCGACGCAACTTTAATAAACGGACTCGGTGCGTTTCTTGTTTTTTCTTCAAGTCGAAAGCCCCCACAAACTCCAGATTCAGGAAGATATCCGAACGGAACAGCTTCGCCGCTAGCTGTTATTAACGTTGAGCCCGGGAAACGGTACGTTCTTCCACACCTTTAGGCCTAATTGCTTAACGTCTCTTGCCTTTCCGTCTCTCAAGCTATCGATTCCGTTTGATCTCCATGTCCTGCGAACCCAACTATGTCTTCTCCATCGATGGGCACAATATCACGGTAATTCCGATTTCGCGAATGTTCCAATTGGCTCTGACACTGAGATACTCCTTGCTACGTAGGTGATTGAAGCAGACGGAC